AAGTACTAAAGGGCCTATGTACGTACAGACTAAACACGCTGCAGTCTTTGCAACCAAGGTGCACATTTTAAAACCACCAGCAAGTTAGCCAACATGAGTTAGTTCTTTCTTCAGCAACTCATTGTGAATGAATGGTAGGACACCTGATGTGTCGCAGGTACAAAGAGGGGAGACACTGCTACAAACAAAACATCTAATTCCTCTCTCTTTCAATCTGATGGACCTGCTGCTTTTCTCAGAGAAAAGCCACCATCACCTTATTCATTCACGAACTATAAATAATGTCATGGCCCGCCTGTTCTCCTGTAGCCAGGAGAACTTGTTCCACTGTGTAACGTGGATCAGCCACATCTCGAATGCCATGACAGATTTGACAAGACAAGCGGACCATTACCAGGGAGGGCCTACATTATACCATGAAAAGATCCCATTAACCCTTGTATGGTGTTTGTATTTTTGGTATACAGCCCATGTGTGGTTTTGGTGGACCCGGTGCATTTTGGTGTTTTGAATTCAACACAATCATAGTTTTACAAAAACAATACTAAACAAATGTTTTGTTTATTCCAATTACAAGTCCATTCCAAATCTCTAAGGCTCAATGGGGTTATCCTGTATAATAAAGGCTGAATGAATTACAAGCAATATAAACTGCATATATGATTGATATTTGCTCTTTCTTTGTTAGAGTACCTTTTCAATAACAATAAAAAAACTTCTGAAATTCATTCATTGGCTACAAACACTTACTGATCACCGTCATACACCCATTCAAGAAAACCTCCCAGCATGCAGTGCAATGTAGAGCAGAAGAGTCCTTAACAACACCTTTATGGGGACGATGTCCATCCATCCATTATCTAGCCATCCATCATTCATCATCCATCATCCATTTATCCGTCATCCATCCATCCATCATCCATCCACCCATCCATTATCTTTATCCACATATTTTCAGGTCACTGGTGTCGAAATCCAGAAGTTGCCGTTTGAGAGATGAGGAACACCCTGGACATGTCTCCAGTCCATCACAGGGACACATAGAGACAAATGAGACAAACAACCATTCACTCTCTCACTCACACCTAGGGACAATTCAGTGTTACCAGTCAGCCTAACATACATGTTTTTGGTCTGTGGGAGGAAACTGGAGTACTCTATGAAAACCCACGCAGCACGGAGAGAACATGCAAACTCCACCCAGAAAGGCCCCCGGACCGGGATTTGTTAATAATAAATTAGAATTTTGTCAGAATACATTTTTTTCTACTCAACAACAAAATAAAAAACAAAAAAAATTCCTGAACAAGATATTCCGTACACACCAAATAGGAATAAATTAATCTAACTTTGAAACCATTTTATAAAAATCAATTATTTTTATGTGAGATGCCACAGAACCTTGAACCATGAGTTCAGACTTTTCTCCACCCAAGCCCCTCATTTTGTCCTGGCCAGTGAGTCTTCATAAAACTTACTCAGATCAACCTTTTTGTGACGTGTTGCAGAATATTTTGAACCAAAAATAAAGACTAAGGCATAACTTAAACTTGTAAATGAAAGTTTAATGAGTCAAAATGTGCAATTAGTTTATTGTAAGCCTCAATGTGTCTTTGTTGTGACAACAGGTGCAGTGATTCACGATCTATGATCTATTTATGTCACGTGTGTGTTTATGACACATCAAAACCATATATAACTGTTTGTGTAGGATAATAATTGTCTTTAGTAGCACTCTTAAACTGGCTGCCTCAAAAAGGTGGTCAGTTGTAGATGTACATTCAATATTTGTTTGTTTTTTTATAGTTGTATTAAAATCTGTACTGTGAGTTATATATAAGATATTTTGCTAACAGACAAAAGGTTTGATTCCAAACATTGATGCCAAGGTTTAAAGCAAAGATGCAAAAAGTGTTGCAATGAACGTCCTGCATGTCTTGAGGACCATACTGAGGTTCTAGCTACGCCTGTCACGATAACTAATGTTGCTGAACGATTAATTGTCTCAGAAATTATTGCGATAAAAGATAATATTGTTTGAAATTTGACAATTAGTAATTATTGTCAAATTTAAGAAATGTTTGTTAATTTGTTTTGTGTGTAGTACCTTTGTTTGACCACCGGATGTCAGTATAAGACTGTTTGAACTGAAGGATGGATAGTGAGGGAGCGAGCAGCGTGTCTCTTTAAGAAAAATGGGAGGGAGGCCCCTTGATGTGACATGGGCTGGCTCTCTTCGGTTCTCAAAATGGCGGATGCTCGGTGTGGTTTGAGCTCTTTAGCATTTGTCACACA